TATATAATTTTGTTCCCACTTTAATTCACTTCTCTTTAATCTAATGATGGAGTCTATATTGTTGCTAAGAATACACCAGTGAGAGAATTTAAGAAACAAATTATTGAAGAAGCAAGAGTACAAAGAATTGACTGTGTCCTTGAATTAGACAAGTAAGTACATCATGTGGCTATCATGGGGCTATCATTTGACTTATTGTGTAGAAAGAGATTACTAAAGAAGAATTGAAGGTCACCTGGTAGAGTGTATCTTGATCATCAATTGATTGAGAGATATTCATATATATGCTGGTAGTGAAATGTATATGGAAATATTGAAAGGTCAGCATTTTAAATAATGAGGGTATTATTCTCATACTCTAATAGAACCTGAAAAGATGAAGCTCCCAACACAGATGCATGCAGGTGTATGTTAGAAGATGGTGTCCATCAGAATTTTCAGTTGATCCAACAGAAGAAGTGATTCTAAAATAATGCTATGTAACTTTTTCCTTTAGTTTTCAGAGTTAAGTGGAGTTCCTGTTGATGCCATTTCTGTTGCAACAGTTAGCAATTGACATTTTACTATCAGCCAGTTATTTTTCCTTTAAAAGTATTTGAGATCATTTCCAGCTGTGATATCACATCTCGATATTAAGAATGAGTTGGAATGGAATCAAGCATCACTGTATGATGCTGATGGAGATGTCATTTATTACAAGTACACTATAATAAAATTGCTCTCGCAATAATTATACTGTTATTTTTAGAGACAATAGAAAACAATTGAAGGAGATCACAACTGAAGAAAGAGCAGGATTTAAAATGACAGAAAGCAAAAGGTCTGTTGCATAAGACCAATACTGCAGTAGCCAATAAGCTGTCTTGCATTCTGCATGTGGCTTTATGTGTATGTTCATCTTTAGGTTATAGTGTTGCTGTTTATGGCATTGGGTCATTGTATGATGTTCCAGGAGACAAAGGGGATGAGGATTGAGTACATTTAGTGGCAAAGCGTGTATATGTGGCTTGTAGGCTGTCTCCCCTCTTCAGCTATTGGTGATATTATTTTAGATCCAATTGTGTTTGCATTGTCTTTTTGAGCTTTGGTAGCTTTATTATCATCATCATCATTATTATTATCTTTGTTGTTGTTTTCTTGTATAAAAATGATATACATTTGATCAAATAAAAGTTGATGTCTATATCATTTTAGCAAAAGATGGACAACATTTTCAAAAGACTATAACTCATAAAATTAAAGCAATTTGCCCAAACTTTCTGCATAGTATAAGTACATCAATATATTTTTTAAATGTAATGAAAATTGTGAGTAATTTTTGAGCCA